CACCACCCCGCACCTCATATCCCCAATCCCCTTTCCCCACGACGCGCTTGTCCTCCGATTCTCCCGCGTCGACCATTTCACTCACCCGTCCACCTTCGATCCACTCACCCAGCTCACCCCTTCTCTACACTCAACGCTCCGCCCCTTCCCCCGGAGGATACTATCATTCTCCCACCTTCCCCAACGCATCTCACCATGATTCTTCCTTTCAACCTTCCGTATCCCCCAAGCTTCGACATCCTCGCCACAATAGCCATGTGGAACCAGCAGCTTCATCCCCAATCCACCACTCATCACTCTCTCGTATCTCGACAACATCATCTTCCTCATTTCCTCAGGCCCTTTTGAATCCCATTTCCCCTCAACAGTCTCCTCTAGGCGGACTCGAAGCCCTTGTTCAAGCCGCTACGGTAGAGCGAGATAGGCTCGAGGCAAAAGCTAGCCTGGATCGCAAGAGCGATGCCTCTCGCTCTGCTATCCAAACGAGTCCCGATCTACTCTTCCGCCCACCGCTCGATGGCCCTCGTACGCACCTCCAGGCCCCCGCACCCCGCACCCCTGTCACCCCCTCTCTCATGTCGGGATCTATTCTACGTGATTCTTATTCAGAGTCATCTCTGAGGATGGGTGCCAGATCCGATACTCAGACTTCCAAACGCCGACGTCAGTCAGACTCCTTTCCTAGTTCCGACCGTAGCTGGGATCCACCTCTACCCTTGGATTCGTCATCTCAATTCAGCGGATTGATGGGCCCGGGAATGAAGCCGCGCAGGCTATCGTCCGAGATTCGAGCAGAGGTCCGCCCGACACTTCCTTTCCCCTCGCGGGATACCGAGGAAGCAGCCACTGCAGGTAGTCGCATGTCCCCTCCACGGGATCATGTGGTGAGGAGGTCATATATGACAGAAGAACCGAGAACCGTTCAATCTCACGTCCCAGACTATCGCGAGACAGTCCCTTCAGCGACTATCGTTCCTGACGTGAGTCGGCATATGTTCGCAGCCGAAGAACCTCGGCCGAGTGTACGTCAAGAGCCACTGTTAAACATTGACTTGCACCGACCACCTCGAAAAATTTTGCGTTCTGATCTGGTATCAAGTCAGGATTCTCCTTCACCCCCACCCCCACCCCCACCTCCACCCCTTCCTCTCCTACTGACCACTTCTCTGGCACCGCCTGCGCCGGAGGCACCTACGCCACCACAAGCACCGTGTAAACAAGGCGAAGAATGCAGTTTACGGATACACTCTCCACCCCATAACGATCCGCCGACTCCCACGGCCACAGCCCCCCAAAGATCTACTGAAGTAGAAAGCGCTGCTGTTTTGGAGAGAACCACGGACTCGATTATCCGAGGACCCTCCACAATTCAGGAGCCGTCAACTCCACTAGTTGACTCTATGCCACCCAACTTGACCGCCACAGAACAGATCAATTCTGTCACTCCAGCCCCCCTCCCTTCATCAGATGTTTACGGTGATTCTCTTGGTCCTGCCGAGTCTTTTAAGCCACTATCACCTCCACTACCTTCTCCTACGGTACATCATACGGATGTCACCACGGAGGCCCCAGACGCTGAACCACGCCCAGCAATCTCTGGTCTTAGCTCGCTCGAGGATACCTTCAATCAGTCTTCTCCAGGACCAGAAACCGGACCCCCCCCTACTACCGCCTCGCCATCACCACGCGCTTCTTCCCCCACTGCATTGGGTTTTGCAAATGTGGACAGTGTCAGTGACCATCATCCAGTCGAAGTTCAGATCACCGCCGTCTCTGAAATTGGCGTTATGCCGATTCCAGAGCCCCGTGGTTCAGTGAAGGCCGAGACTTCGCCTACTTCGCCCGAGGAGCTGGAAGTGGTGATATCCCCCGCCGCCGCTACCCCTGCGCCTGCTGTGGAGATTATTTCTCCCCCTTCACCAGACTTGCCCTCTGAGACACGTCGCGCGTCCACCTTGATAGAGGTTAGTATTGCTAGCGAGGCTGCCCTCGAACCCGCTGTTACAAAAGACTTAAAACCGAGCGGAGACGATGAACAAGAGCATGCAGACATGGATGTCGATGAAGAGCTTCTTAATCTCATTGGAGATGGTCCACTGTCACGTAACTTGCACCCTTCGCCTACAAAGCAAGAGCCTTCTTCACCTCAGGACAAATATCCCTCTTCTCTTTTGCCAGTCAAGCAAGAGTCTGCACCTACTATACTGGCTCCATCCCATCTATCCCCTGCCGCAACCACCATTCTTACTTCGCAGGAAGGTCTCTCAATGCTTTCTCCGGATACAGCCCTGTCCGCCCGTGATTCTGAACCTAGCGCCGTGAAACTAGATGAGCGATCGGCTCCGAAAAAGAAGGTGAGTTGTCTAGCATTGGTTTTCAACTTGTTGTCCTGACCCTCACAAGGCAAAACAGCATGTACAACCCAAAGGCCGCGCCAAGCCAAGTGGTTCGATGAAGACAAAGCTCAAGGCACCCTCTGATGGACTATCGGCAGCACCGTCGAAAAGCAAGAAGACATCTGCTACTGCAACAAAGAAATCAGCTATTACCGCTCGATCGAGATCCACGTCAGTCATGCCCGTTAGCGCTACACCCATACCAGGTTCGGAGAATAGAGCATCAGGTGAGGTGGAACCTGACGATAGTGAAGATGGGATGGAGGACAGGTTATATTGTATCTGCAATACGAAATATGATGACGAGAGGATAATGATCGCGTGTGACCGGTGCGTAGCGCATAACTATAGGCTTGTGGCCAGCCAATTTATTTGCTATCTTACGCAGTTGCGATGAGTGGTATCACACGTCGTGCGTCAATATGCCAGACTTAGAAGTTGACCTCGTCGACCAGTTTATATGCCCCCTGTGTGTGGAAAGTGCGTCTGGTTGCTACTTGCCCTATTCCCGATTTACTAAGACCTTGTGAATGATGTCCAGAGAATCCTCACCTCGATCTACGCACGACCTGGAAACGCCGTTGCCTTAACGGGCTCAAGCAACGCAACCCGAATTCTCCAGAAGCATGTCACAAGCCCGCCCGCGGCGCCTTCTCCAAGTACTGTTCCGACGAGTGTGGTGTGCAATACATGCACATGCGTATATCTCTCTGGGTAGAGAGCGGTGGAAATTATGATCGACTCTGGGAAACCGTGAAGAACGCAGAGAGGCGCGAGGGTGTCGTAGTGCGCGCCCGCGCCGTGGAGAAGCATTCCCGTTCACCCGCAATGACGGAGGACCCTGCAGTGTTGGCCGTCGTCCCGCCGAAGGTTAGCAAAGCAGATCGGGAACTCGCAAGATTGCGCGCGCGTCTCGAAACATTGGTCCGAAAGCGTGAAGAGCTCAAAGCTGAAATGGACGTCATCGTGTGGCGTGAAAAGGTGACAGAGCTCGCAATTCAGCATGCCGATTCGGTCGATCAGTGTGGGTGGGACCAGCGACTTTGTTTTGGCGATGAGGAGGTTGCCGAATTCGGTGCAAGTGTGCTGGAGAGCTACGAAGAGGGTCAAACTGATGTGGATGGTGTACAAGAGGAGGCAGAATGGTGGTGCATGGGCAAAAAGAAGTGTGATCGACATTCGGGGTGCGTCTACATCCAATTTCGATGCGCGGCAGCCTTTTAATTGTTGTGGTGTCACTTAGTTGGCAAAAGTTGCGTATGGCCGATGTCGAGTTTGATAAGGAGACGAAGGACCAGGCACTAGAGAAGTTGACAAAGCTAGAACGTGAGATTAGGAAACGCGTCGAGGATATTCTCGATCCTCAAGCCCATCTTGACAACGCGAAGAGACTGGAGCCTTCGTCGCCCCGAACTCCTGTTTTGTCAAGGCAAACTGTTAATGGTCAGTCAAAACACAAGCCCAATGGAGATCACCACAAGAAAGGGAAGAAGAGGAAGGAGTAGGGTCACAGGTTCCTCGGTACCTACAGTATCATTATCTGGTAATCTCTCACTATTACTAGATCAGGTGTGCCGAAAAATCGTCGTGTGTTAATAGAAATGAGCTGCGAGCGTAAATTACACCGCCCCCGCTTCCTCTCGGGGCTTAATGAATCTGCCAGAAAGCGGGGACTCTATAACTATGTACCTCAATAACCGTCTCCCTCCCCCCCCTCTTTGCAAAAACCTTTCTGTTCGTACAAGATTTTGGCCTTTGCTTCTTCCCGCTGTTTCTTTTCCGCGACGTCTTGTCGATAGTAATCGTCGAGCTGTTCATACTCCACTTGACGTAGTGGGACATCGTCTTCTTGATCCAAATCCTGTAAGGCAATCAGGAATGAGTAAGAGACAAATGCGAGGAGAGGGAGAGAGCACAATTTCTCCTAACAAGACAACGTTCTCTCCTCGAATGAGGAATAGTCCACACCACTTCTCAGCAAAAGTATTGCCGGCGTATATTCGCTCCACCGTATCCTCGAGAACGAGATTGGCTAAATGGTCGTTCAAATAAATAAAAAAAACTTCGGAGCGCAAGTCCAGAAGCAAAAGAGGAAAGAGAGAAACGTACCGAACTGGTCATAAGAGCGTAGCACGCCATGTAGTTTCCGACCATCTCGCAGGACGACGAGCATCTTTCCTGGGGGACAAGAAGAAAGAAGGACGGAGATGCACACCTAACTGAGCACAGGCAGCGGGGCTTGAGGAGACGTACTGTCCACGCAGTCCACTAGAGAGCCGGATGTTGTGAATGGGATAAGGGAGTCCATTGGGTCGCAAGTTTGCGACGTGTGTGCCAGTGGCGGTTTGAGCGGAACGAGGATTGAATTGGATGGTTGAGGCGGCTGTGATCAAGTCAGTCCAGGGCTCAACAAATTACTACGATACTGTATTTGTACTGTGCAAGTGATCTCTCTTTTAGTAATAGATCGGCTTTTCTTTTCTTATTGTTCTGTTGCTTCCCTGTTGAAAGCTACAGGCCGTGACCGAACGAGAAGCGATAATGAAAGGAATCGAATTTGTCGCGGCCAGTATATGGATGCTCGATTGGCCCACCTGGCAAGATGCTGATATGGCCGAGTCGTTAAGGCGAGTGATTTGAATTTCGCTGCGTGAGCGGCATCTCACTATCACTTGGGCATTGCCCGCGTAGGTTCAAATCCTGCTGTCAGCGTTTTTTTTGGTCATCGTATTCACACCTTTTCCCTCACATCCAAGCACCTGAACTCAGTCTGATAGTTATGCTGCCCTTCACTAGTCATCCAGATGATTGTATCTCACATCTCGATGAACTTCCTCCGAGCGCAAATGGACCTTTATATCGTCTCTGTATTTGTGTCTACAAATTGGTAGTTCTCGTGGCAAACAGGTTGTACAACCACCTGGTTGGAAGACGATGGACATCATTTCATAAATAGTTTTTTTGATCTCAACACTGATGGGTTGCAAACACTCTTCCAGACGGTTGTAGGTTAGCGAGCGATGCGTGTTGCATGTTCCCAATTGCCAATGTAAAACCACCTCTAAGACGCATTGGATGTTTTGCCAAAGTACTCCCATTGTCCGGGTTCTGGCTTCTCTTCCAGAGTATCCCATCTACCCATGGTTAGTCCAATGCACGCGCACAAATGGGGTGGAGACCTACGCTTTCCATCCCGCCATCTTGCCAACCAAACTGAGTTCATCTTTGGCTATCGCCATGGCCTGCTCGATTTGCCCTTCATCCAACTGCCTCTCACCTCCGCAACATCTCCATTCGCCTCCTGCACGATTTTCAACTTTCGTAAAGTGAGGGCTTCCGTGCCTTGACGGTATGCAGCATGCTCGGGAATAGATGAGAGTGCGGAAAGCGTCGACTCGTAGGTCTTGGTTAATTCCGGTAATGGGTTGGTATGGACGGCAAGGCCATAAAGGCCTGTAGATAGCTTGGATGCCTGTAATAGCGGTCGCGTGAATCGGAACATTGTTTGCGCCCTTGAAAGGTTGGCTTGTAAGCTCGCAGTGTCGGAGTTCAAACGCGTCCTGAACGCGCTCGCCTCATCCAGCGTCTCGCTATCATCCATCATGTCCGCTCTTGTATTACGCCAATACTTATCCATTCCTCGCCAACTTGTCGCAATACCTTCTTCGCTCTTTGCCTCACCTCTATCCACCATATTCGGAGCCGCATGGTCAATACAACTGCTTCCTACTCTCCGCGACCTCATCCCACCATTCCTCCTCGCTGTACCCAAAAAGAAAGTCTCTCATTCTCGAAAGGCCATGCGCAGCGCAAACAAGGGTCTCAAAGATAAGCAAAGTGAGCACCGTTTTGCCTAAGCGTATCTATGTCGCACTAACTCAACAATCGTGCAGACTTGGTACATTGCCCTGGATGTGGTTCAGCGAAGCTCGCGCACCATTTATGTCCCCATTGCTACTCCAGCATTAGCCGTGCATGGAAGGCAAAATCTAGAAATGATGGCCTGACATCCCCGAGCGAGGTACCATCGTAACCGACTAGAGAATCTTCGGAAACAAAGCTACAACTATTCTTCTCGGTTAATGCAGACCTTACATCCCAATCAGGGATCATTGACACACTTGGCATGTCACTTCTAGAATGGTTCGTGTTAACCTCCAGGCTTTCTACTACCCAATATATGTTCGGACATGATTCTCTGCTATTCGTCCTAAATCATTGAACCCATGAGTCCAGAGCGAGAACCACCCCCATGCGAAAGTGAAACCATAGGCGCACCCTACAGCCACTTGCGGCACGGTATGGTGTCCCAACCGGATTCTGGAACCGGCCACTGCGAGTGCCCACGGAACAGCAAGCAGCGTGGCGAGGGGACGAAATAGAGTGTTTTCCGGAAGCGAGGGGTGTAGCGGTAGCCATGCACAAGCAAGGGGAATGTACGTCCCATAGAAAGTGATGGTTGCGGAATGCGTGCTAGGCATCCTAGAGAGTGGCGGTGTTGAGGAAGCACACATAGCACGAGCTTCGGCGACATACCCATACGTTTGTTTTTGCTTCCGGTCGGTGGTTTGCACAGGACGTGCTTGCCGGAGAACACGTTTAAGCATTTTGACGGTTATTGAGCAGGCTAGTGCCCCTGCAGAAAAATAAGCGACGCCAGCAGAACGGGTGTATAGTACGGTGCATGCTGTGATGGCCGTCACTACGACGTGGGTCTATCCATTCACGCATGTCAGAGTTGTTCATGAGATCTCATACCACTGCTAACGAACCTTATCGAGGAACCGTAAAATGAGTTTGTAGAGAGAGGTCCGATGTAAATCGTCTCGCATATCGAGTAGTAGACGGGGACAGTTGGCTGGGGTGCAAGTCAGGTAGCAGCGATCAGAGCGATTGTAGGTCTTGATAATGGCCCCGATAGCCCGATCTTTTATGTGAACAGCTCGTCCACCTGCGATATCGCGGAGGTAGAGAAGACGGCGGCGTACCAATATTTTAATCCGAGATAAGTTATAGTCGGTAGCCTGAGCATAACAAGCCATGACCCGAATGATTCGTTGCTTCCAAGAAATTGTTACTGAAAACATGTACATTCTCATTCTCGTTCTCATTCTCATTATTCCCACCTTGCTCCACGTGTATTTCTCTCGCCAAGCAAGCGATCCATATGGTTCATTTCATGTGTCGTTCAATAAAATCCCAGGAGGCCCTGATCCTCCACGAACAGAATGGCTCAACATGGGATTCTGGAAGGTGCAACGCATCACCACTGCTGACCCGTACTAGCGAATCATTAATCATTATTGACACCTAGTCGATGACCGGGCAGGATACTGTACTCTTTCCAGAAGCGTGCCAAGGTACGCCTCGAATCTCGATGCTTCGAGGCATGAACTTTTGATTGGGCTACTCGTAACCATCAGCCCTTGCTCTTCAATTATTCCAGGTCGCTAGTCTCAAACCTGGCGGGCGAGTTCTCGGTGAATATCTACATTCGTATCCTTCAGGATTCTCTTAAGGTGACAGACGTCGGTCATGGAAGTGGTGATTCGATCCTTCTGCAACTATCGCACCCCGACGTAGCCAGACCGGCCCTGTTGTGCGGAATAACCAGCCTAAGCTCGCATTACCGCCGTGCCCAGGAGAGAGTTGACAGCTTCTTGTCTTCAGTCGATGCACCCAGCGAGACACCAGACGTGCTTCTATTTGAAGGCGACGCCGTTTGGCGGCCGGGGGATAAGGCCAGGTCCCATCCGCTCTCGCCTCACTTTCAGTACGAGTTTGACAACGTACTCGCGCTCGACTGTGCATATCACTTTAATACCCGTCATGAATTCCTCCGGCAGTCTTTCCAACGCTTAGTTCCCGGTGGCGGCATTGCCTTGGCGGACATCTGCTTTTCCACACCACCTGGCCCAATACTCACGCTCTTGCTGTGGCGCGTGCTCTGCGTCATGCCAAGGGACAACATCGTCACCAAGGAGCAATACATACAGCACATGAACAACATTGGTTACGGGGGTGTTGAGATGGAGGACATCACGCCTTTCGTCTTTCCCGGCTTCTGCAATTTCTTGAAGTGGCGAGGATATGTAGGGACTGTATTCGCTTGGTTGATGGGCTGGTTACAAGGGCAGGGATTACGTTTTATTATCATCAAAGGTGCGAAGCCGTCGGTGCACTAGCAGGGAGGACCATGTCCGAGTCCCTCGGAGAGAAGACTTGCCCACCGCACGCTCTGCGCGTTTATCCACTCGGAACAGTGTTTTGCCAGAACCTAATTCGCACATTTTGGTTGTAATAATTTGGCTTTTAGCTTTAGCCACGAACGCATGGCGCTTAGGTGCACGTAGACCCGTATCGCCGAAGTAAATATCCTCTGCCTGTGCCTTGACAGCCAATTCTATAATTCATGATGCCAACAGTGCAACCCTTGGTTGTTTCCATGATGTACACTGATGGATTTCTTTGTGCTGTATGGTGCAAATTAAACCGATGAGAAAAGGCGCCGTACTCTGATTCTGATTGGTCGCCAAATTTCCAGGGCCCTGAACGGTCAGGTGACATTGGGACCCCAAATTTGCTTACCATGCATGCTCTTCTCTCCGTGCTATACATTTGACATACAGATGGTACAAGATGACTTTGTTATGACTCTGGGCTCCGACGAAGAGTCTCCCTCTGATGCCATCGTACCCCCAAAGCACTCAGCGTCAAAGGAGGCAGACGAAGCACAACTGGATCCTGCGTTCACTTTTGATATATCAGGAGATCCTTATAGTGACCTACTTCGTGGCGGAACAAGCTTTACAGACGTAGTGAAGAGTGGTTCTCGACTCGTACGCCTACTTGATGTCTCATACCGTTCGCTGATACATATGCAATCAGGATCCGATATCCGTCGATGATATCATAGCAAGGCGAAGGCCTGGAAAGCGCAAGTACCAAGATGAAGGCGACAGCCCCGACGAGGCCATTGATGAGCTCGAAAACGACTTTTCCGAGGATGAAGATTCCGCGGATGAAGAGTCCTCTGTTCCCGAAGGTGACGAGGAAGAGGAAGACAAAAACGTTGATGATCCATTAGCAACGTCCGACGACGACGCTGAAGGTGATTCCGGCAGCGCTGGTTCTCAAGAGGAGGAAGAATCTGATTCCGAAGGCGGGGCTCCTCCGGAGATGAAAGCGTGTCAGAGACTGAGGCTCAAAAAGCCCAAAAAATAGCGTTCTTTTCTTCGGACGCCGCATCTCCCGAGCAGCATTCATCGTTCCTTACCATGAATCTATCTCGCCCGATTCTCAAGGCCCTGACTTCGCTCGGTTTTCACATGCCCACCCCTATCCAGGCCGCTACAATTCCAGTTGGTCTTCTAGGAAAGGACGTCGTTGGTAACGCCGTTACGGGTTCTGGGAAGACTGCAGCCTTCATCATCCCATGATCGAGCGTTTACTTTATCGAGATCGAGGCAAAAAGGCGGCAGCCACGCGCTGTCTTATTCTTGTTCCGACTCGCGAACTAGCTGTTCAGTGCTACGATGTCGGGAAGAAATTGGCTGCCCACACGGACATCCAATTCTGTCTGGTAGTCGGTGCGTTTGTAACCTGCTCCTTGTCGTCGGGATTGACCTCAGTCAGTTTGTCTGTACAGGTGGACTGTCGCTCAAGTCCCAAGAAGTCGCTTTGAGAGCACGACCAGACGTCGTCATTGCTAC